ACAGTATATATAGCATTGCATGCTCGTTAAAGGTGTTTAATAATCAGTTTTTTTCTAGTTTCAATGTTATGTTATTCTTTACTAGATGTTGTGGTGTTGATCTCTGACCTAATTAAGCAAGATAGCGGAATGAATGGTGGAGAAGGATCTGGGAGTTCTGGTAGATCATACGCTTAATAATGGCATGCAATGTTAAGCTGCAGTTTCTAATGTGCGCAAAATTCACTCATGTATTAAAAGAGGTATAAACTCCACAGAGGGAGATATCATTTTACTCCTGTACAAATCATTAGTAAAACCTCATCTGGAATATGCAGTTCAGTTTTGGGCACCAATTCACAAAAAGAACATTGAGGAACTGGAGAAAGTACAGAGGTATGGAGGAGATCAACTATGAGGAAAGATTAGAGGAACAGAATTTATTCTCTCTTGAGAAGGAGATTAAGGGGGGATATGATCAACATATATAAATACATCAGTGGTTCATATAGTGAAGAGTTATTCACCCTGAGGTCATCACAGAGGACAAGGGGGCACTCTTTACATCTGGAGGAAAAGAAATTTAATCTCTAAACATGGAAAACTTTCTTCACAGTAAGAGCTGTGAAAATGTGGAATAGACTCCCTCAAGAGTTGGTTCTGGCCAGCTCAGTGGATTGCTTTAAAAAAGGCCTGGATTCTTTTTTGGATACACAGAATATAACTGGATACTAACATTTATAGGTAAAATTGATCCAGGGAATATCAATATCGATTGCCACTTGGGGGATCAGGAAAGAATTTTTTTTTCCCTGCAGGAGCAAATTGGATCATACTTTGCTGTTTTTTTTTCCTCTGGATCAACTGTGGGTGTAGGAATATACCTTTTTTTTATGGTTGAACTGGATGGACATTTGTCTTTTTTAAGCCAGACTAACTATGTAAGGTGACAAAGGCTGATTCCCCCATATATCTGGCTAGTTGACGTTGTGGTACTGACCTTTGGCTAGACTGCAACAGTGTTTCTTCTTTGCCCACTGGCACTGCACTTGATCCTCGGATTTGCCTTAAATATTAAGGGACTTGCTAATTTTCAAGTACTGATCCTTGCCCGTTTGGAATTTCCCATTCTAGCCCTAAATGACCATTGTTACCCAGCGCAAAGTGTCTGGAAAAATGCAAGTATGATGCAAGCAAAAAAAAAGATACCCCAAAAGGTAGCTGCTAAGAGTAAAGGGTGCTGCAACAACATTCATCAACTAGTAGAGCCTTACAAATGCCTTCCTAAAACAGGAGGTATTTATCATCTTTGCCAATGGAAATCCAAAATGTTAGAGATCTACATTTAGCATCACATGTGACTCAACCATATAGGTCCTTCTTGGTCCTAAGGTCAACACATCATTAGAATGGCAGGTTTGTCATAGACATACCGCCTTAAATTAGAAAGCCATTTATTGATATTGCACATGACTGTTTCCTGCTTGGTGTGTCGCATTGCCTGATTATATGTGAAGATACTATTAATTTTGATATAGTTTTATAGTGTCACAGCTACAAATGAACTTCTAGGTCCTCTAATTAACCCGTGCCATCCCTTCACTCTGCAATTATTATGTAGAATTTAAACTGAAATACCAAAAGGCAGACAAAAAAAAAGAAAAAGCATCCTAAATATTGACTTACAAATGAAATATTAGTGGTGTATTTTTCCATGCTACCTCCTTTATGATGCTTTATTATGAGCTGGCTGCTGGCACTATGATCCCACTAATAAAATATACTTCTAGAACGGAGTGCCACACTGCTCAATACATGCTCTATACTCTTATCTTGTACAGTACAATACAATATATAAGCAATTCAATTGCTACACATAAAATCCCTCCATTTATAATACATTATACACCATATTAACAATGTTTTATTTATGAAACATATCTCCACATGAAAGTGTCTGGTGATTACAAAGTTCTACCTTTTTAAAATACACAATGATCAAAGTGCAAACAAAATGTCTACATATATCATTGTGTTTCAGATTCACACAAAACATTCAAAATCAACAGTGTCCTTTATAATGCTCACCTGTAGGTTTTGACCTACAGTATATATTACTACTGGTCAACATAGGCTTGTTCACTTTAAGGGCACTGAATAAAGCTTCTACTCCTCTCCTCCTGTGTCTTCCAGTAGGGGCAGTATAGCTTAAAACACACTCACATAACAAAGTTCACCGACTGGTGCACTCAGGATAAATCGCTTAGACACTTCTGATACAATTATCGGCACCACTCCAGTGATGTGCCTGATCACTTCCTAGTATGATGTCACCTACTACACCCTACAAGTTTCGTCACATGGCTTCTTCAGGGGATCAACTTACAAGGACCATATGTTCCTGAGAATATGCAGTATGGGTCTTAATTGTTTTCATATCATGAAAAGCTTGGCAACTATCTTGGTAATAATTAAGACTACTTTTGTTTTCAGTTTTAAGCTACCTTTTGTGCCTTACTTAACAAAATGCAGGACATACTTTATATAAGATATGTATATTTTGGAAAAAAACAAAAGTGAAAATTGATAAATAATTTTTCAATTGTTTTCCTGACCCAAATGACCATAGACCAGCAATTGTCAATTGTGATCCTTGGTTGAACTACACACATATTGAACTCCAGCAAAAACATGTTTTCTAGTTTACAATAGCATCACAGTCTTTGTCAGGTTTTCATTATCTGTGTCCACATTGGGAGATTTCCCCCACAAGAAATGAGAAGGCGTGTGTCATTAGAACAAGAAGACAGACAGAAATGAAAACCCTTCCCCACTCAATAAATAAACTTGCTGTTGTTGCTGTCTAGGCCTGCATCAGAGAGACATTTTATAATTTCCTGTTGGTGTGACACCTTGTCACCAGAACAGAAAGTGATGGAAAATCTTTCCAACAAGGATACAGACAGCAATACATTCCTGATTTAGTTTCTTACCCTTTTTCACTCCGTATACAACAAAAAAAAAAAGGTTTGGCCAGAGTTGGGCTTTAAAACAAGCTTAGGACCAAGGTGCAAAAACAATGCTGTGGGAATATAGAGGTTACACAGAATTCAAAGAAAAGCGAGAATTATACATTGTAACGCTTTATGCTCTGCCAAGGGAACAACACCAGCCAATATTTGCAGATGTAAAAATAGGAAAATAGTTGGAGCATACTGATAAGGTTACACCATCCCAGAGAATAACATGACTCCCACCTAAGTACTTCCTATATTATTAAAACCATATAGAGCAGACCTTCTTGTATAATCTTGGGTGTTAGGGAGGTTTATTGTTTAAAGCATTTAGAAGTAGACCGAGGACTTGTTGGAGAGAAATTTACACTTCTAGATGTTTTCCATAGGTGCAGATGGCCAAAGTGGAAACAGTGTTTGGTGCGTAATTCTAGACTAAGGTTTATGTGTATATGACTGAAATCAAATCCCTTCAATACACAGCTGATTTTTACTTTTATGCAAGAAAGAGAAAAAAATAATAGTGCAAATGGTAGGATGGATCTGACTTTCATTACATATTATTAACAGGTAATTGTAAAAGAGACATATGGTAATATTTATATGAAACTATAACTATAGAACCTATTGTAAAGAGGGGTTTTACGTTGATGTTTACTATTAAACATTTTTGTTTCTATCCTATGGAATTTATCAGGGGTGTGATAACCACATCACTTCCACAGGATATGGCAAATTTCATTTTTCTACTTAGCTTTCCAATCCCCGAAAAGCCTGTGCTCTCTTGGAATTCTAGTTGAGTTCAATGTGGCCAACAGATGCATTGGGATCACTCCAATGGATATCTCTTTATTAAACTGGTACTCGGAATAATTGATATAGGGATACAATTATAATTTTAGGTTTCTAATATTCTGTACTAGGAAAACATTTTTCAAAGTTAGAATAACTATTAAACTAAAAGTATAGGCAATACAAATAATAGACTAAAAGTATAGGCAATACAAATAATAGACTAAAAGTATAGGCAATGCAACTAATAAACTAAAAGTATAGGCAATGCAACTAATAAACTAAAAGTATAGGCCAGTGATGGCGAACCCGTGGCACGCGTGCCACAGCCGGCACACCGAGCCTTATCTGTGGGCACGCCAGGAGAATATCGTATTTTTCGCTCCATAAGACGCACTTTTTTTTCCCCCAAAAAAGGGGGGAAAATGTCAGTGCGTCTTATGGAGCGAATATAGAGCGGCCGGTCCGGTATTTCCACCGCCGCCGTGTCAGAATACCGGGCCGGCCGCTCAGCTCTGCAGTGGGACCGTACCTGTCCCTCTATCCAGCGGCGCGCTGTCTTCCCGGCTTCTGTAGTGTGCGTGACAGCCAGGTCCCAAGTGCGCATGCGCAAGAAGCAGTGCTCTTTGTGAATGGTAAGGCGGTACCTGGGACACATGACAGATCCCAGAAGCCGCCGGACCAATCACAAAGCGCAGCGCTTCTCGCGCATGCGCACTGGGCATCCGGCTGTCAAACGAGCGCCCACACTACAGAAGCCGGGAAGACAGCGCACGGCTGGATAAAGGAACAGGTAAGATAAAAAAAAAACTCTGCGGAAGTAAGAGCGGGTACCTGTCAAATTCAGGTACCCGCTCCCCCTCCCTCCCCAAAGGTCAGCAGTCATCTGTACTGTCCGCAGTCTCTGGTCATCCCTGTGCTTTCCGCAGTCTCTGGTCATCTCCTGTACTATGTCCGCAGTCTCTGGTCATCCCTGTACTGTCCGCAGTCTCTGACCCTCTCATGTACTGTGTCCGCAGTCTCTGGTCATCTCCTGTACTGTCCGCAGTCCTTGGTCATCCCTGTACTGTCCGCAGTCTTTGGTCATCCCTGTACTGTGTCCGCAGTCTCTGGTCATCCCTGTGCTTTCCGCAGTCTCTGGTCATCTCCTGTACTATGTCCGCAGTCTCTGGTCATCCCTGTACTGTCCGCAGTCTCTGACCCTCTCATGTACTGTGTCCGCAGTCTCTGGTCATCTCCTGTACTGTCCGCAGTCTCTGGTCATCCCTGTACTGTCCGCAGTCTCTGGTCATCCCTGTACTGTGTCCGCAGTCTCTGGTCATCCCTGTACTGTCCGCAGTCTCTGGTCATCCCCTGTACTGTCCGCAGTCTCTGGTCACCCCCTGTACTGTCCGCAGTCTCTGGTCATCTCCTGTACTGTGTCCGCAGTCTCTGGTCATCTCCTGTACTGTGTCCGCAGTCTCTGGTCATCTCCTGTACCGTGTCCGCAGTCTCTGGTCATATCCTGTACCGTGTCCGCAGTCTCTGGTCATCCCTGTACTGTGTCCGCAGTCTCTGGTCATCCCTGTACTATGTCCGCAGTCTCTGGTCATCCCTGTACTATGTCCGCAGTCTCTGGTCATCTCCTGTACTGTGTCCGCAGTCTCTGGTCATCCCTGTACTGTGTCCGCAGTCTCTGGTCATCTCCTGTACTGTGTCCGCAGTCTCTGGTCATCCCTGTACTGTGTCCGCAGTCTCTGGTCATCCCTGTACTGTGTCCGCAGTCTCTGGTCATCCCTGTACAGTGTCCGCAGTCTCTGGTCATCCCTGTACTGTGTCCGCAGTCTCTGGTCATCCCTGTACTGTGTCCGCAGTCTCTGGTCATCCCTGTACTGTGTCCGCAGTCTCTGGTCATCCCTGTACTGTGTCCGCAGTCTCTGGTCATCCCTGTACTGTCCGCAGTCTCTGGTCATCCCTGTACTGTTAATTAGTTTGCACTACTGTACGAGTTGTTTTTTCTAAACCAAAAGCTTGATATTCAGGTTTCATTGCAGTGTTGGCACTTTGAAAGAAATAAGTTGGTTTTGGGTTGCAGTTTGGGCATTCGGGCTCAAAAAGGTTCGCCATCACTGGTATAGGCAATGCAACTAATAAACTAAAAGTACTGAAATGCAGACTGGTGCGATTCAAGTTAAAATCCTAAAAAAGTAGGGCATAGTCATTTTTTCCATTCTCTTTGCTTTGTGTTTTAATAATTATAACTCATTCTGTAGTTGCTAAGGTTTTTTGGGTAAGGTGGATATAAGATGCACAAAATACCATGAATGAACCAAATAATGAAAGGCAGAAATGCTTGGTGAAGAACTATTTTAGTAGAAGGGGTACCAAAACTAACCTCCATCCATAAAACAAATGCATGGCTTGAGTTGTATTTTTTATCTAGTTTAAAAAAAAGAGATGAACTAACCCTATGTTACGAAACCTGTCTCATGAGATCCTCAGAAGTCTGAACATCAAGCTGTAATGAAGAAAATCCCCATTGCTTAGTAAAGAAAACAACTGCAGTGTTGAGGATACAGCAGAGAATGTTTACTTTGCTGAACATGCACATATATTGTACATAGACAAGCCTTTCACAAGTTATTTATAATGTGGAGGAATATGTATTTTGACAAAGACCAGAAATGTGAAAGATTTATTTAGATAACTTGAAAAATCTGTGTGATAGAGCTCATACTTGTGATGGGCCATAGCTAGAACCATACAATGCCTAAAGTGTTTAGGTACCCAGCTGTCAATGTTTATTAAATTCACCTTAAAGTAAAATTAAACCCAAAAGCAAAAAAAAAACAAAAAAACATTGGAGCTTGAGAGTATATCACTAATGATTAGATAAATAGTGCTACGCTACTCACTAAACCTAACCATAAAGCAAAAAGTAAACACCTGACATTTATATTTATACATACAGCAAGGCAGCTTAATTCACCATAGAAAGGAGTATTGCATTCATGAATGGCAAAGATGGCGGCCAGCCTAGCACGTGGTCTTAGCAGCAAGTGACATCAGCGTAGCAAGCTCCTTCCTGACGCGTTTCGTGCGACAGCACGTTGTCAAAGGGATCTATTGCTGTGTGCACATTATTGGCTTAATAAACCTACTACACCATATTAGCTCTTCTGTTTGGTGGCTTGTTCTTTGAGCTACTTAAGGTGGATATCCATTGGTGCTGATCTTGTTTGATGCCGGGTGAAAGTGAAACCAAGGAGCAGTCCCAGTATGCTGTGAGGGTCCCACTGAGAGGTCTGGAGCAGGGGCGGACTGACAACTCATGGGACCCCTGGGCAATAGGGGATCATGGGGCCCCTGTGTCCAAACTCAAAAAAGCCTATGAAAAAGGTACCAGGGGCATCTCATGGGGCCCCCTACTGACCCCGGGCCCTTGGGCAGTGCCTGAGTTTCCAAATGGTCAGTCCGCCCCTGGTCTGGAGTCCGTCCCAGGGTGCACAAAGTGCCTTTGGAGTGCCTCATCCTTACCGATTCCTAGATGACCACTAGTGCCCTTCTGAGTATTACATAGATGCGCAATAATATTGTGCGTTTGGTGAGTGTAAGCACACCTCTTTTCCTTACCATGGAAGTCACGAGCACCTTATTTATGTAATTCCAGTGAGAGCGACCAGTACCCCCAGGTACTGGATTGTCATTGCACCTATAAAAAAAGTCTTTCAACACTGATATTTTGGACTGCTATACGTTTATAGTGTGTGTTTATGTCATTGTATTTCGTCTACTTTAAGACGACGCACTATTGCCACTTTATAGCGCTCACCTATAGGGCCTGAATGTATCACTTGTCACTTTATGATTTATTTAATGTTATATATATATATATATATATATATATATATATATATACACACATACACATTTTAGTGCTGCATTTTTTATATACCTGTATATGAGGCTGATTTACTAAAGGCAAATAGGCTGTTCACTTTGCAAGGGCATTTGCCCCAGATCATAGATAATGTGGTGAACTTTCACTTTGCTAAGAATGCTCAATAATGTGCAAAGAAAATTAAAACAAACAATTCTTGCATGTGATTGGCATATGGAAGTCAGCAGGGCTTCACCTCGTTCTCTAAATTCTGGGGCAAATTCCCTTGGAAAGTGCAACTTCCTTGCAAAGTGAACAGTCTATTTGCCTTTATTAAATGAACCCCAGTGTGTTTTATATATGGGGAAACCTGTAGCCAGTCACTTAACTGCATGCTGTCATGACATGAGAACTAGCCCTTGGAAATATCTTTCTCTGACCATGTTTTCTACATGTAGCGTAGGTAATATACACAGTTACAACAATGAATGAACCAAAAGTCTTTAAAATTAGAAATGATTAAAAATCAAGCTGAAATTCCAATTCAGATCTGTAAGGGGATTATTCAATGCATATATACAGCAGACTTGACCCAAGAAATAAATCAATATTGTATACATTAATATCACAAAGAGATATTAGCAGTATGTGATATATGTAATTTATAAATGCAGATGATGTGTGGGAGTGAAATCTATGTACCAGTATCTGTTTACCTGTAATGAAATATGTATCTCCACTGACAGTTTCTATTAATCTCCTTTCCCTACAGGCACATGCTCTCTCTTTGGGTCTTTGTGAATGACTAATATCAAGAATATACTTGACTTTACAAGCAGCATTTGAAAGATGTTCAGCATCCCATATGATATACACCCTTGCTGCTGACTAACTGAATGCACCCTTGGTGACCCCAATAATTCATTCACTTTTCTATCTCTGTAGTGAGCTAGATCTGTCATTAGGGGCATCACTGCATTATGTTTTCTTATGTTAGAAATGTTTTCATTTTTTTTTTTTCATTTTCCCTTTTTGTTCCTGTTGCTTAAATTTCACAGCCTCCCTTATTTTCTTCTTCGGGACGAGGAAGTTGCTGTTGTTATGTAACCTTTCTTTTCGTTTTTCATTAAAAATAATTTATATGCAATATTGCTTCAACTGAAACTTTTTATTCCCTAGGGCATGGGTCTCCAAACTATGGCCCTCCAGCTGTTGAAGTACTACAAATCCCATCATGCCTCTGCCTCTAGGAGCCTTGCCTGTGGCTGTCAGAGTCTTGCAAGGCCTCATGGGACTTGCAGTTTCTCAACACCTAGAGGGCCATAGTTTGAAGACCCTTGCCCTAGGGCTTCTTGTATATGGGGTCATCTAGGAGAAATGCAGCCTTCCCAATGGACAGGTGCAGCATCCAGCCTTCCTACAGGCCTTCTGTCAAAGTCTATCGCAGGCTATCTCTGAAAGGGAGTGAACTCTGTACTGAGGGGTACCTGCATTTAGGACCCTGTGCGCTTGGGGATGGAGGTCTGGAATGCATGTAAATGTAAGGGGTCTAAACATAAGGGTTTAATTTTTGATTAGGTTTTGCCTAGTGATCCCAAGCTTTGTGTCCTTCGATTGGTAGATGTGGAACGAGAGAGCAGATAGCCACAAGATCTCCTTAGACAAACCCAGGAGAACAGATGCTCACATGTAGTAGCCCAGCAAGACTAGGGTGGTGTTTATGGGAGTGCCATGGGCCATAGTTGATGCTCCTCCAGGTGCTAAGAACAGGATATGCGACACCTTGGTGCAACATGATAGATTGCTTTGGGGGTTACAGGAGTCACCTGCCATTCCACAGTTAGCCCTGCTGAGCCCAAGACACCTCTTTTAAGAAACAAATTGATCTGAATTATTAATTTTAGTTAATTTTCTTTTTGCAAAGAGAAAAAGTTGGCAAAAGCAACCCCTGTGTGTTTTTCACCACCAAGGTATGATGAGAAAGCACACTATACTGCACATGTGCAACAGGCAAGTACGTTTGTTTTATTCAAGAGACATCATTTTTTATTCCAGTTTAGTTCCACTTTAACACAGCAGAGAGAATTCCTTGATTGGAGGAGAGGACGTTTAAATGCCTGTGACAGGTCATGGGACTGATGTCTTCTCCCGGAATTTTTTTTTTCTTGGAGTCCCACACACCAAGCACCACAGCTTCTAAAATGTTATTATTACCAGCCTTTGAAACTCTGAATTGGGTTTACTCTATGGTGCCTAGTTAATCAACAACTAAGTGCAGCAGTCCATAATTCATCTAAACTTTTATGGCTCTATAATAAAAAAAGTTTCTGAAGCAGCAGTGACTGGTTTGTGGCTTGAAGATTTATATCAATAAACACCTGGGTTTCTTTATATATCACTACCAATGCAGGAGCTGCTGAATTTAACTACTTCCTTCCCAGAAAGTTTAGAGGCCACCAGTCACTCAAGCAACAGTCCATTCGCTCTGGCTTCCAATGAACAGTCTATGGATTGTCTTTTTGTCTTTTATTGCTAGAAGAAACTGTAACCAGGAGAAGGGATGGGATATGGGATACTCCAAAATGCTCAGCACATTAAGTAGAGGACAATATCCTCAGTAAAGGTAGCACCAAGGGTGGACTGACAACTCATGGGGCCCCCGGGCTATAGGGGATCATGGGGGCACCTGTGTCCTTGCCCAAACTCAAAAAAGCCTATGAAAAAGGTACCAGGGGCATCTCATGGGGCCCCCTACTGTTCCCGGGCCCTCGGGCAGTGCCCGAGTTTCCAAATGGTCAGTTCGCCCCTGGGTAGCACAGTTTAGCTCTCATAGCTGGAAACTATGAGATTGCTTCAGATTTGTTTAAAATCTCATAGCTGTGGACCATGAAATAGCTTCAGTTTATTGTAACCCCTTCAAGCTTAAGTGTAAAACAAATGTTAATACTTAAGAACAATTTTGCAACTTTGACATGTGTTAGCAAAACTGTACATATCATAACTCCTTTGTGCATTCAGGTGGATTATACATTGTTTTTATCAAGACAAATTGGACTTTCATTTGGTGGTAAATGGTAATGGATATCTCCTGATTTTTGTTTTATTGTCAAAGGTAAACTGACCCAAAATAGTAAAAAAAAATGTTTTTTTTTTTTTAAATTTAGCTGTGTATTTCTTGCTGCTGCCATAACTTACCAGCAAAGAACAGCCCAAAATAATTTCTACTGCTCCTAACAATCACAGCAATACCACATAACCTATATTGCCAAAAGTATTGGGACAGCCCTCCAAATCATTGAATTTAGGCATTCCAATCACCTCCATGGCCACAGGCGTATAAAATCAAGCACCTAGGCATGCAGACTGCTTCTACAAACATTTGTGAAAGAATGGGTCACTCTCAGGAGCTCAGTGAATTCAAGTGTGGTACTGTGATAGGCTGCCACCTGTGCAACAAGTCCATTTGTGAAATGTCCTTGCTACTAAATATTCTATGATCAACTGTTAGTGGTATTATAACAAAGTGGAAGCAACTGGGAACAACAGCAACTCAACCACACAGTGGTAGGCCATGAAAATGACAGAATCGGGTCAGGGCATACTGAAGCGCACAGTACGCAGAAGTCAACAACTGTCTGCAGAGTCAATAACTAAAGACCACTGAACTTCATGTGGCCTTCATATTAGCACAGCAGCAATGCATAGAGAGCTTCAAGGAATGAGTTTTCATGGCCGAGCAGCTGCATCACTAAATGCAATGCAAAGCGTCGGATGCAGTGGTGTAAAGCATGCCACCACTGGACTCTAGAGCAGTAGAGACATGTTCTCTGGAGTGACGAATTTTCTTTGTCTGGCAATCCAATGGACGAATCCCCTTCCTGTTCCAGCATGACTGTTCAGCAGTACACAAAGCAAGGTCCATAAAGACATGCCATTAAAGGTCATGAGCGTCCCAATACCTTTGGCAATATAGTGTATGTGTAAGTTAGTTGTTTGTACCAGTAGTACGGCCCAGAAACAATAGTGTGAATTTTGCTTTTTTTTTTTATCTTGCCACTAACTGATACTCATACTAATTGAAAAATCCTGATTAAAAAAAAAACACTGTCCCTGATCCTGACCTTTGACATTGACCTTTGACTCTAACCTTGACCCAAACACTAACCTAGATTAAACCTTGATCTAGGTATTTTTTTTTATTATTATTATTATTATTTATTTATTTATGTTTACACACACTTTTTTTTCTCTCTCTGAAAGGACAGAGAAAGATACACTGTATCCCTCTCCTCCTTTCAGAGAGAAAGCAAGGGCTTCACAGTGATTCATCATTGTAACAGTCAATCAGAGGTTATCACTGCTATCAGATGACCCGGAATTGGGAGTTCCTGGTCCAGATCGTTAGAACAGTACCCAGGGCTTTCAATAAGACCCCGGTCTCTGTGCTCTCCCAGCACAAAGACAGGTATGCAAATTAGCGGCCCATGGAAAAAAGCCCAGCTAAATGGGGCCGCATATTTGCTTACGGTCGGCGTTGAGGGGTTACAGTCTCATATCTGAGGACCATGATATAGCTTTAGGAACAGCCAAAAGCCTTGCAGCTGGGATCCATGAGGCAAATCTCTCTAGCATCTAGCAGTAGCAAAATGAATGATTTTAGGGTGCTGTACAGTTGCAGGAAGTTAGTCAAAAACCTTTACTCATAAATTTCAAAACCACTACATCCTCAGAATCAATCCCCTGGTACAGAAGCCCAGCACTCAGATTAAGGATAATCCCAGTCTTTCAGCCCCTATAACCACCTATAACAAAAAAAAAAAAAAACAGTCTCCTTTGGATTTCAGGTTATATACCACCTTCCTGACCACCTTCTGGGCACGCTTCCTCATGGATTGGCCAGGACATAGTAATTATTCAGGCCAGAAATCTGAATTTTCTTGCCCTAAACTCTGGATGGAGAAAACAGTCATAACTTCAGCCTATAAAACCATGAGTAGACCAAAGCAACCGATCATTGCTCCTCTGATTACAGAGTGAGCCAAACTAAATTTACCTAGCATTCTATACTAAGGAGGGTGCTGGATTTACAATCAATATAATTTGATCAGTAAGTCTGTAGCTGACCTCTTGTCTACATCTCCATCTATTCCTCCTGGTCTCTGACATATGCAGACAGCAATTACATGTGACTTTTACAGGGAAGACAGATGACTGGAGTCAGGTGTTGGTTTCAGTAGAAGCAGTTCCTCCATCCTTTCCCCTCTTCCTAATACAAGCCAGATTACAGGGGAAACAAGAACCACTGCAGATGTTTAAGCACAGTGGACCTTCTTTGAGAAAATACATTTTTCTGGTGTGAAGTGTTTTCTCTCTTTTGGAAAGAAGGGAAGATCACATAACTTCTGGGTATTTTTTCTTCTTTTACACTACCTAATTAAGGAAGGAGCACAGAGCACCTGGAGTCTATGGACTTTATATGAATTGTTTGATTTGTGCATTTAATTTACATTGGACACTTTATTTAGTTGGCAAGATTTATTTATGTATTGCACTTTGTCTATGTGGGAGGTAGGCATTTGTGCAATAAGTTATTCATATTGATTTTGGTTTGTTTATTTATTATTTATTCACATTTATGCAAGAACTATTGTGGGCATCACACATTTATTTATGATAGGGATTAGGGAGCAGGGTTCACTTTGTTTAGAAGTAAAGGCATTGACTGCCTAGCATCTCCTTTTCTATGTTGTGGTGGGAGAAAGATGGTATAGCCCAGTTGTGCAGAACAAACAGCAAATTTTTCAAAAATACTGTCCATGACCTATGACCCTGACCTTTGACCCTGACCTTTGACTCTGACCTTGACCCAAACACTAACCCTGGCATTCACCTAGATTAAACCTTGATCTAGGTTTTTTTTAAATGTATTCTTATTTTTATTTATTTATTTTTACACATACTTGTGTGCAGTCACAATCAGCACAAGGGACATAACTTACAGTCAGTGGAATAAGTTCCTTGTGCTGATACCTCTTAATCCTTCTCAGTCCATCTCATACCACCCCCCCCCCCAACACCTAAATTTCCAGTGCAGTTGAGTTGAAAGAACTGTGGGAGCTGTCACAGGTTGCCATCCAGAATGTCCTACTTTGCCCACCCTTTCTGCACCATTCCTCCATTCATAGAAACGAATACTATAGCTTCTATAAGTTAAATGTGTACTATAGCTTCTATGAGTTAAATGTGATCTATGAGTGGAGGGGGTGGACCTTTCAATCATTTGCTCGTTCTCCATTCACAGATACTTTTTCATTCATAGAAGTTGTAGCTTCCATGACTGGAACGGCTGGTCACAAATGGCAATCATAGTCAGACTCTCTTGATGAGAGCAATCTATGAAATCATTACAAAACAGCTTGACCATACTGCCCCTTTTATTACTCAGACCCAGGGGCGGACTGACCATTTGGAAACTCGGGCACTGCCCGAGGGCCCGGGGTCAGTAGGGGGCCCCATGAGACGCCCCTGGTACCTTTTTCATAGGCTTTTTTGAGTTTGGGCAAGGACACAGGGGCCCCATGATCCCCTATTGCCCGGGGGCCCCATGAGTTGTCAGTCCGCCCCTGCTCAAACCTATCTTTTTACATGACAAAACTCTCCCAATTTGCAGATACATAAGATCCCTAACTATTCACCTTCCTAATACTGCCAAATCGGTAATCCTCAGATACTGGAAAGCTACTGCACCCCCTACTAATGGCAAATGGCGAGGTACATAGATAAACCCAAAATACTCCCTTGAAAACTACAAAAAGACATGGATGGTAATGTTAGTCTAAGTTCACCTCCTGCAACACCTGAGCTCTGTTTAACATCCCTACGCCAGATGAAGCTTTCCCATTTATAGCTCCCTGCAAAGGTGGGAAAGGCTACCAAAAGTAGTAAGGGCTCTGTCCTAATAGCTGCAGTAACCAGTAGCATCCTGAAGATCTCATTCCCTGCCCACTTCTCTTTATCTCAACCCAACAAATCAACCCCTTCCTCCAACCACACACTTTTTTCTTTTCTTCATACACCTCTTAACCTACTTTTTTTTCTGGCTATTCCCTCAAAAATATTCCCTGCCATCATCTATTCTCTTGAAACTGAACTGGTCTCACCTTGAAAAGCATACTTTTTCACCCACAACTCAATGGATTACCTAATTGAAAAACCCAGCACCTAATAGTATATCCTGTTCCTTTTCTTTTTTTTTTTTTTTTTAATTTAAATATTTATTGATTTTCAAAATATTAGGAAAATTAAAATCTACAATATAAATTCTCCCAACCCCCCCATTAGTAAAATCCAAAGTCACCCCCCCTCCCTACCCTCCCAACCCACCCTTCGACTACCGCTCTTTGGCAAGAGAGAAAGAGGCTCTAAATCGTACTCTCACCACAGTGGATGAGAATAAGGCCTCTCTTTTTCCTGCCCCTCTCACCCTTGATCTAATCTCTTCCCATTTTTTCCATTTCACATGCTATATTTTGGGGCTTCTACTTCACGCCAAAACTTTGGAATCAATCCCTTGGCTGCATTTAAAAAGTACCATGCTCCTGATTCTTTATATTTATTTACTGTTATTTCTGTAATATGTAAAAGGCAGGTTCCAGGGTCCAGACTAATATCAATTTCCGTAATCTTTCTAATTTGGTGTACCACTTTTCTCCAGAATACTTGTATCTTTGGACATTCCCACCATATGTGATAAAACGTGCCTATCTCTCCACACCCCCGCCAACAAAAAGGTGATTTCTCCCATCTTATGTTCTTCCCGCCAGGTAGGGAGGAGGTTTCAGGAAAATGGATCAGGAATGAGGGAGCCCAGTCGAGAGATATAATGAAAGGTGTAGAATTGAGAACACTTAAGGATTTGAAAAAGGAAGCGGGAAAGATTTTCACTAGGATAGATAGTTGGAGCTATAATCAATTAAAACGTTTTGTGGGGAAATTGCCTAAGCCTTTGAGAGCGAGTATAGATTGGAACTTGTTTGAGAAGTTGTTGGGATCACGAGGTGATGGGAAACATGGTACGGCAAAAATGTATAAAATTCTCACTGAGTTAGATATAGGTGGAAAAAAATTAATGTATATAGAAAAATGGGAAAGAGATTTGGGTGTGGAGATAGATGAGGTTAAAAAGAAAAAAATAATTAGATTGGTACACGAGAATATAGGTTCACGGGAGGTGGAAATGAATTTTAAATGTTTGACAAGAGGATATATTACTCCTGCTCCTTTTCAACTTAAAGTGGGTTTATATATACTCAATGTCAATCTTATGGTTTAGAGACAACTTAACATTGCAATATTCTGCAGTGCATGCTTTCATTATACACTATATTTTGACTGTATGTTTAAATAAAGTTATTTTAAAAAACTGCATCCCTCACAGTTATAACCTTTTGTACCACTTGCCCCACTATTAGATTGTAAGCTCTTATGAGTAGGGCCCTCCTAATCCTCTTATTTTGATCGTATTGTAGCTGTACTGTCTCCCTTCATATTGTAAACTGTTGGTGCTATTGGTGCTATATACGTCCTGTATAATAATATTAATTGCTAATTACCATCTTACAGCCATACCTGGAACTAATAAAATAAAAAAAAACACACCGTCAAAATGTTTTTCAATAATAGTAATATGTTTCTGCATTGTGTTATAAAAATTATTAAAATTCAGATTAATATAAACATAATAAATGTTTTAATCAGATCGCTTGGTTGGATGTCATCACAATTAGTTCTTATTTCTGCAAATTGTGGATGAATGTTTTCAAAAGTTCACAATCACTCCAAAGGGTCATGTTTGTGCTGAAATGAAATTCTCTTACCTTTTAGTAATATCTTTCAATAAGTAGACCGTGGTTTCCCTGCCATCTGGTAGAATAAGCGAGTGGTAGGGGTTGAAAAAGTCTCTCCGATAGTTGTCAGATGTTCGTATATTGGAATGGCACATACACCCAGCCAGAACAGTGAGGAGAACGCTCCAATGAATTCCATGTGTTTTTATACCTATAGCATGGTTACAGAAAGAAAAATCATTACAGTTTGTGTGGGTCGTACTGCTGTTTGGAAACAATGAGGTGAGTCATAAAAAAAAAAAAAAAAAGTTTCTGTATTAGCCAAATGTGGCAATATGTTTTTGTCACAGGTTAGAAAAGGAGAACATGTATCTAGTTGTATGCTACAGGCAACAAATCATATTTTCTTTCCTCCATTTGTCATAAATCTGCCCGAACAGTTTTTAGAATAGGACAGAAATACATGGCATGAAGTTGAAATACTAAAGGGGCAGAGGTTGTTTGCTTAGTAAACGGTAAGTCCATGTCACACTAGTGATTCTGACGCTGACATGACATGAGCCTAAGGTGTGCCCAAAAAAAAATTGCTTATACATAATTGAGATAAAAAACATATTTTCCTTATTCACTAAGCTAAGTGAACATTCACTATGCAAACATTTGACTGGCTAACTGAAGTCTATTTATTTAGTAAGGAATACCTAATGTGTAAGCCCATATTTGGTGACAGGTCATTTCTTCAAGTAGTTTTAGCGATGATTACACATTGTAACATTTTCAGATATAAATCAGTAGAAATTTGGTAGACTGAAACTGCTCTAATCCCTTCCCCAAGGAAACCCAAAATTAAAATGAGCTTGCAGAAGAGGGCGATTGAGGACTTCCCAAATTCATGTGCGCAGCATTGGTCTCACACATAAGGCCCATGGTACTGTAGGGCATGTAAAGGAAATATTAGCAACAGTCCACCCTAAATACTGTATGTAAAAAGATTTTAATGAGTAGCTATCATACACATAAGCATGTTGAACCTCAGACAGCAGACATAGGAGCAAAGCTATTTACTTCTAGTAAATCAACCCCATAGATCAAGGGTCTCCAAACTTTGTAAACAAAGGCCCATTTTATTGTCTTTCAGAGTTGGGGGGGGGGACTACAACCGATGAGAGTAGAAAATTCCACAGATCACATCAATTGCAGTAGACCCTTTTCTCAGGCTTGGTCTTCAGTGGGAGTAAAAATTACACAGCACCTGTGGTCAGTAGAGGAGGACAACTGCCCCATCATTGGTATTATTGGGAGAAATTATGCCCCATCATTGGTGTTCACAGAAGAAATAGTGGTATTAGTGTGAGGAAAAGTGCCTGATCATTGGTGTTAGTGGAAGTTACAGTGCCTCAAGAACCAGATAAAGGTAGGCAAAGGGCCACATTCTACCCATGGGCCACAATTGGAAGACAACTGCCATAGAGCATTTTCCTATATATGAAATTACAGAATGGCAGCTTGAGCCTACTATTTAGGGCATTTTCTGTCCACATTCTGAGCATAGACCCCCACTGGCTGCACACACAAACAAAAAAAGAATGATTCGGTAAGTAAGTGGGACTCTAGAAGAGGGGTCCACATCTGTCTGGCATGAGAGTGGTTGGGGGAGGAGAGAGGCTGGAGGGGTATTGTTAATAGTTCATGGGATCTTGAGGGGGGGATGAGGAGAAGGGCTTCCAATTTCTTTTAATTTTTTCTTCAGGGTGTTTTTTTTTTTCACTAAGGAAGTGGAAAGTTTGGGAAGCAAGCGTAAAGTGGTTGTAAAGGCTCATTCTATGCATGAAGGTACAAGCATCTTCTGTGTGCAGCATCCCCCCAGCCCCCACTAATACCCACCTAAGTCCCCTCTCGATCCAGCGATGTGCACTGGAGTCTTGGCTAGCCCGGGACTCCCACTCCTCATTGGCTGAGACAGAAGCGGGAGCCATTGGCTCCCACTGCTGTCAATCACAGCCAGGGAGCCAATGAGAAGAGAGAGCAGGAGGGGCCAAGCAGCAGCTCCATGTGTGAATGGACACATGGAGTAGCGGGTGCCCCCATAGCAAGCTGCATGCTCTGGGAGCACCCAACAGGAGGGAGGGGCTAGGAGTGCCAGCGGGGGACCCGAGAAGAGGAGGATCCAGGCTTCTCTGTGCAAAACCACTGCACACAGCAGGTAAGTATAGATATGTTTGTTATTTTTTCTTAAAAAAAAAAATAGGCCTTTTAGAATCACTTTAAAATGTGCATTTAGTAGTTGTAGCTGTTGTTTTGTTAATAAGAAATTATCGTTCATTTTATGAACATGAGCTAAAACAATTTCCTGTGTTTGAATAAAGAAAGTAATTTTAACTAAGCCATGTCAGCTAAGAATCACACTTCTTATATTATGCCATAAGATGTCTGAAAGCATTCTTACACATCTAGAAAAATGTATCAGTAATCAGACCGTCACTGCTAAGTATTTACTAGATGACTTATGACAAATACAGCACACAGTTCATTAGGGTGAAGGAATAATCTTGTATTTATGCTAAGATTTAGTTTGCAAATTGCATGATGGATTTAATGGCGAATGGAATGACATGTTTGACAAAGTCATCTGCATCAACCAAAACTCAACTTCTATAAATTAGAACTAATGCTGGAATAGTTGGCCATTAATTCAATGGTTGGGCTTTAAAGCAAATGTAGGAGTTAGAGGCAGTTTATTATGGGATTATTAGAGAATGAAGGAGTTTACTAGGCATATTAGGAAAATGATAGCAATACTATGCAAAGCAAAAAGTTTGTTATGTAGGAGGGCCTGTATACTGTAGCTATAAAGCAAGTGCTTCCCTTTGTTGTACTTCTCAGTGGTGTACTTCTCAGCAGTTCCATGCATGGGGCAACACTTGACATTCCCCCAGCCTACCCACAATGTTAACACCTTCCCACTCGACCTATAGCAGATTGACAGCCGGGAGGGACACTCGCCATTGTGACTGGGCGTCATATGACGTCCTGTCAAAATGAGCGGCTCAACACGGGACACAGTCGATGATCATATCACTACACCGGCCTGTTGCCAGTGTCATATGACTGCTGTGACCAATCACAGCAGATCACATGTCAATTGTATACAATGAATGGCTTCCTGTCTTGCCACTCATTGTATACAATTGTGTCATTAGCTGTGATTGGTCAAGGCAGTCACATGGACAGACAGGGCCAATCACAGCCCATCTGTATCATGTGATGAGCTTTCCCCAATCACAGCTAATCACAACAAAAGACTGAATGAATCAGTTTCATTCAGTAAGAATGATTGCAAATAAATGAAATACATGAATACCAATGTATTCAATTGATATTTGCAATCATTGTTACTGAATGAACCACAATGTGTAAAAAAAAAAATCCTGCTCACTTGCCCAGAGTAGTTCAATGTTACAATGGTAACATTGTATTTGCTCTGGTCACAGTGTGCTTAAAAATAAAATAGTAAAAAAAAGAAAAAAAATGTATAAAAAAAAAAAAAAATAGATATATTTGAAAAAAATAGAAATTCAATTATTATTATTATTTTCACCAAAGAAATGTAGCAGAATACACTTTGACCTAAATCTATGAAGAAATGTTATTTATTTGCAAAATTGTATAACAGAAATGAAGAAAAGTGCGTTTTCTTTGCAAAAGTTTCAGGTGTTTTTTGCTTTATTTAGCAAAAAATAAAAAACTCAGTGGTGTTTAAATGCCACCAAAAGACAGCTCTATTTGTGTGAAAAAAATGATTAAAATTTCATGAGTACAGTGTTGCATGACAGCACAATTGTCATTTAAAGTGCGACAGTGCTGAAAGCTGAAAATTGGCCTGGGCAGGAAGGGGGTATAAGTGCTTGGTTTTGAAGTGGTTAAGCTAAACCATAATATACTGTATTTTTTTTTCACCGCTGTGTACCTATTAGTGAAAATCACCTAACGTCTTTCCCCATAGACACAAGAAGTGAGAGAAATTCCCCTTAAAGACATTTGTCATCACTGGAAGATTTCCCTTCACCCTCTGTTCTGGTGACAACTATAATAACATGTTGGATATCCCCCCTACTTTCTGTCACAGTGACAATCGGCATCATGAAAAATTGACAAAGCAGATCTATCCAAGAGGTATGCAGAACCAATAAACATTGCAGAGGCTCTTATCCTGCCCCACTCTATACAAAACTAGAAAAAAGTTTAGGCTGACGTTTTCACGCATTGTACACTTAAAGTGAAAACTTAATTCTCTCAATCAAAATTTACTATTTTTCATCCTTATGCTCTTAGTATTAGTAAATAGATATGAAGGTATATTATATTTACTTGTTTTAAACTTTTTGTTTTAATTTCTTCAGTCGCTTCCTGGTTTCCGGCCAAGGCCAAAATTATGTCATACATCCCATGAGTCTTCATGGGCATTTTTTTTTTTTCTTTCATATGGAGAGAGGAGGGGCATTCACAGCTAAGCACACGCTCCTGCTTGCATGCCTGCGCTAATGGCAGGTGGATTCCAAGAAGTAAATGCTACATGAATCATCTGCCCCTTACTCAAGATAACTGCAGCTAGAAAGGCTAGTGAAAGGAAGGTTTTCAAATTTATTTTTTTAACAAAATAAAGCATGGAGACACAGATGGATGGGTGAGTTTGCTTTAAATATTAAAACGACTTAAAAGCATTTTTGGTTTCTTGTGCTCAGATACAGTTAAGCTCCACTGTAACAATAATAAAGATCTAGTAACAATACAGCTAATGAAAGGCATCTTTATCAACTATTTTCTGAACCCAAAATATTAAATTATGTTTTTCAAGCTTATTAAAATCTAGACTTATACATATGAAAGGCTCTAAATTTAATAAAGCTCTTTAGATTTTAATAAGCTGAAAAGTCTTAAGTTAAAAATCAGTCATATGGCAAATGCACACTATATGCCTCTTTCATACATTAAGATTATTATTGTGTTAATAATGTTTTACGCAACCTTCAGCTTAAAATAAACTTGTTAGCTTTCAAACATATAGTTATGGAGTTAAGATATTAAAGTGGGGCTCAGTATTCCAGGAATGAGCGGTGCTTTCATGTCATTATGTGAGTGCTACTCAGTCCTGGAAGAATGCCAGCCCCCCTGCTTCCAGCAGAAAGAAAGAAGAGGAGGTCCTAGTGACATCACCGGTCCTGCAAGAATACTGCTGGAAGAACGCTGCCCCAAACTACCTAACTGACCTGATACCCAAATACCATCCTACCCGTACCCTTTGCTCCTCACAGGAACTCCTACTCTCCAGCTCCCTGGTCTCCTCCTCCCACGCCCGACTGCAGGACTTCTCCAGGACTTCCCCCATCCTCTGGAACTCCCTACCCCAATCCATAAGACTGTCACCTACCCTCCTCACCTTCAGGCGCACCCTGAAAACCCATCTCTTCTGGGAAGCCTACCCCACCCTCACCTAACAACCGATCTCCTCCACTCCTCCTACCACTCCATCCCCCACAGCCACCTCCTCCTGTACCACTATCCCCTCTCTCCTAGATTGTAAGCTCGAAAGAGCAGGGCCCTCGAACCCCTCGTGTATTATATTGTACTGTATTGTCTCATGTTCTGTCCCCCTCGCTAATGTACAGCGCTGAGCAAACCCTTCGGCGCTATATAAATACTGTATAATATTAATAATAGTGGTTCTAAAAAAAATTACTGAGGGGGGTTTGGGGGGTACAGGATAACATGGCAGGGTAATATCTGCTTTATTAGGGGGAATGTTTCTTAAAATGATCATGCAGCATATAGAAATCATACATATTACACAATGATTTATCTTACAAAATGAAAATAAGACCTCCTGACAGTACACCTCATTCTGAACTCCAGTACACCCAATACTGATCACATGGGAACTTATTATACCCAGTATAGTTCATACTGTACCCTGAACATCTCACACTGCTCCTTGAACTCTATTATGGTCACATTCATCATACGGTCATTCATGGTTCGAATCTCGGTCAGTCCAGCAGGGACTTGCTGAGATTCGATCCATCTATGGGCAGGCTGATTGTACCCAAGCAGGGGCGGACTGACCATTTGGGAACTCGGGCACTGCCCGAGGGCCCGGGGTCAGTAGGGGGCCCCATGAGATGCCCCTGGTACCTTTCATAGGCTTTTTTGGGTGTGGTTTGAGTGTGGGCGAGGACACAGGAGCCCCATGATCCCCTATTGCCCGGTGGGCCCCATTAGTTGTCAGTCCGCCCCTGTACCCAAGTCAATCCATCAAATGACTTGGGTACAACCAGCACATTCATCATATGGCCATTCATGGTTTCGAATCTCGGTCGGTTCAGCAGGGACTTGCTGAGATTCGATCCATCTATGGACAGGCTGACTGTACCCAAGTCAATTGACTTGGGTACAACCAGCATGTCAGATTTCCAGCATGCAATTATTGCCAGCAGCTATAGCCGCTAGCAATGATCATTGTGTTCTTTTGGCAGGGGTGGCTCCCGACACCCACCCTCTCAGCTGGGAGAACATAGTAGCTTTAGGGGAGGGATTCCTTTATCAACAGGAAAGAAAATCATCTATGGCATGCGTTACACTAATAAGACATATTCTTGGCTTTGTGCTATCAGTACTGCAAAGACTGTACTGCATAAAAAGTGGTCTTCTTTTTGTCAATGACATAAAGTCCCTCCTCTCCAACTGGATAACAACCTTTCCACTATATTTTCTATTCTGCCTGTCCTTTTATGTGTTCAGTGGAGTGCAAACAGACAGCACATTGTCCTCAGAGATAGATTGAGGCACCCTATTGTGCCCTAGGCAAGATAACAGTTTTGGCCCCCACCCCATACCTTTAATTGACATTGATTATTACTGATGAACAAGACCAGAGTGGCCAACCATAAGAATTGTCATTTCTAACCTTTCCCCATCTGACGCCAACTGCCAACAAGTGCATTCTCCCTTGTGAAGGGTCAAGCAGGCCCACAGCCTTGAACAGTCGTGCTATCTCCATGGTTTATTACAGGAGCATAAAAGTTTCAGCTGGGCCCATTGGACATTCACCAGGCCCTAGGCACCTGCTTAAGCTGCCTTGTGGATGAGTAAAGTATATGTAAACCCTCACCTTGTAAACCAACCCATTCTGTTTAAACACCTTCCGCCCGCCATATAGTACAATGACGGGCGCAAGGTGGTTCTCTCGTTCTGATAGGACGTCATATGACGTCCTTCCATTCTCATCGCGCATGCGCGGCTCAGGGAGCGCGCAGCTCGGCGATCGCCGGTGCGAGGGACACAGTGGATCACGGAAAGAGATGAAGATGTCGGCTCGGTCATGTGATCAGCTGTGTCCAATCACAGCTGATCACATGTAAACACGGAACTGCCGGTTATCGGCATTTCTCTCCTCTCGCGCTGTCACGCTGACAGCTCGAGAGGAGAGGAGAGCCAGTAATCGGCTTTCCGCGGAGGGGACATGTACACTAATCATCAGGGCACTGATGATCAGTGTGCCCTGATGATCAGTATGGCCCCAGAAGTGCCACCTGTCAGTGTCCATCAGTGCCAGCAGTCAGTGCCACGTGCCAGTGCCCATCAGTGCCACATCAATGCCACATATCAGTGCATACTAGTGCATATCAATGCCACATATCAGTGCCCATCTGTGCTGCCTTTCAATGTCACCCATCAGTGCCAGTCAGTGCCATCTATCAATGCCAATCAGTGCCACCTATCAGTGCTGCCAATCAGTGCCACCTATCAGTGCCAGTCAGTGTCGCCTATCAGTGCACATCAGTGCCACCTATCAGTGCCAGTCCGTGCCACCTATCAGTGCCAGTCAGTGCCGCCTAACAGTGCCAGTCAGTGATGCCTAACAGTGCCAGTCAGTGCCACCTATCAGTGCCAGTCAGTGTTGCCTATCAGTGCCACCTATCAGTGCCGCCTATCAGTGCCATGTATCAGTGCTGCCTTTCAGTGCCCATCAGTGATGCCTGTCAATGCCCATCAGTGCAACCTACCAGTGCCTCCTCATCAGTGCCCATCAGTGCCAGCTATCAGTGTCCATCAGTGCAGCCTGTCAGTGCCCATCACTGCAACCTCATTAGCGCACCTCAGTGAAGGAGAAAAATCACTTAATTACAAAACAGTATAACAAAAACTAAGAAAAAAACTTTTTTTTTTCAAAATTTTCAGTGGTTTTTGGTTTGTTTAAGAAAAAATAAAAATCCCAAAGGTGATTAAATACCACCAAAAGAAAGCTCTATCTGTCTCAAAAAAAATGATAAAAATTTCATATGGGTACAGTGTTGCATGACCGCGCAATTGTCATTCAAAGTGTGACAGCGCTGAAAGCTGGAAATTGGCCTGGGCAGGAAGGGGGTATAAGTGCCCTGTAGGCTAGCGGTTAAAATAGTACCCCCCTAGATGAACTCTTCTTCCTTCACCCAGAAATCTGGAGATATCCCTGAGCAGGGGATCTGGTGCCTGTTGCTTTAAGAAATGGACAGCCCCAGATAGGTGGCTATTCTGGTTTCCCACCAGAGTGCTCCTTCCCTTATTCACCCAGGGGGTATAAGGGTAATCACTCAGATCCTCTCCTGTACCACTAATGGGTTGGAGGCTGCTACCAGGCCTCCTAGATGGGCCACTCCCTGCTGTACAAGTGGTCCTCACTCTGGGGGCCATTGAAGCTCTGAGCTTTCTTCCTTTCCAGCTCCACTGCCTGTAGTTGCGCCCTTCTCTCCATCTGGGCCCCCTCCCACGCTCCTGCCTTCAGCCTCACATCTTCCTCTCTGTCTTCCACCTGAACTCTCTCCTCTTGCTGAACAGGCTCACTTATTTTGAAGGGTTGTCCTAGGCCCTTGCCAAGCCTCCCGTTGGGAATTGGCCAGGATCCCTCAAGAGTACAAACCAGCCACTCCTCAGATCCACCCACTGCCTCTAGACCTTCCTCCAAAGGTCTAGAGCAGGGGGAAATTCCAGAGGGGCTGATCTGTAGAGCCTTTCAGACCTGACCACAATTTGACCACCTGACTATTGCACCCAGACTGTTACTCAGCCCTCCTCTCTAACAATCAGGATTTTAGCTCCTCCTAGCTAACTAGGAGAGTGTTACATGTGCATTGCATTATTGCAGGCCAAGAAAGTGGACATGCACCATTTTAGGCAATGCAATGCACAACAGTGGTTGTGGTGCACTGCAGCATTGGTGAATCGGGGTCCATTCAGAAAAAATCAGACTAAAAAATCATGTCAGAAAAGAATGCCATGCGAAGAAGAAATTTCGATCCATTACAATTTTTGTCATTTGGGGACACAATGACATTGTAGAAAAGTGTCTGTCTCAAACACTCTAATCAAAACCTAGGGGGACGATACATTTATAATTAAGCAATAATGAGCAATGAATTATATTTAAAGTATAACTAAATGTACAATGTATGGAGTAGAGAAGGATTAAAACACCTATCATGTTTTATTGTTGTCAGTGTCCCTGTTGGGGAGATTCACCATCTCTATTTTTCCTGTAGACAGTTATCACCAAGAGTGAAAGTAAATCCCAAATTTTGAGCTGTCACCAAAACAGTAATGGAGGAGAAATATTTCCATGGGGACACTATTTCTGGTGACCCTGGTGACAACAAGTGATTCTTACCTCTCAATTCTTGGTTTAGCTATGGGACAGGAAGTAAAAGGAAATCTCCCCAATGGGACACAAAAAAAAAATGATGGGTTGTAACTCTACCTTACGCTATCCTAAATGAAAAAGAAAGTTTTGACTTTAGTTCTACTTTGGTGATTAGTCTTTTTGTTGCTAAGAGCTGTTTTTGAATTTTTTGCCCACGTGATTAAAAAATCATTTTAGGCCTGAATATTGAATAAATCCCCAACACATTATATAATTTCTGAAAGCAGACACCCTAGAGAATACAATTGTGATAGTTGAAAATTTTTATGTCATGCAATATTGCCACAAAAGGTCTAGGAAACATCACATTTCTGTAAAAAAAATTCATTAAAATTATTTTAGGGCACACAAACACAGTAAATCAATACATTTTTTGGTAAAATATAAAAAGATGGGGTTGTAATGAGTAAATAGATCCCCAACATGTCAAACCTTAAATTTGTATACGCCAGTGAAATGTCTACAAACTTCAGTACCCTATATTTTTGACACTTTTAAAGCCTCCTATAGGTCATCGGTCTGGCGTTATGGAGGAAGTCTGGTACTAGAAATATTGCTCTCACTCTGGCATGCACAGCAGTGTTCAACATATCTGATGTTTCATGCATAGGTGCCCCCGACACATTCATACGTGCGTATATGTGGAGGTGGGGGAGAGGCCTTAAAAACTTTTGGGGGCTGGGGGATTTTATGTGCATGGGTGTAGCTTTAATTTTTTTTCAATTTTTAAAAAAAAATGTTTACGTAACTTTTTTTTTTCATCACATGGGGACAAAAAGTCCCCATCTGATGATTTTTTGATGACAGGTTCTATTTAATGAGACATCAAGGGTCCAGGGTACAGCATACAGACCTGGCAGCGAAAGGGTTAAAGCTGTATAATATTCAGATTCTTGGATAAACCCAAATTCCACTATTTCTCTTTAAAATGGTATTAAATCCCAAACCAAAAATTTAATGTATTGCAGCTTACCAATCATTAGATGTGGTGGCTGCGTTAGTTTTCTTTTCTTTGACCTTTTCCCCTCTGTTTTCACCTGGAGACCTGGCCAGTAACACACCTCTTGTATTAGTGAGACACAACTCTGGGATGAGACACAGCAGGCAGCAGTATTGTCGGTCGGGGGGGGGGGGGGTAAATGTATTAGCAGATTTAAATACACTAACAAATTGAAACCAAACTCCAGCTCACACGTTATAATTAGTTACAACAAATTGTTTTTGTTTTTGGGGATAAAGGTATTGCTTGAATTAATAAAAGCTAATCATTTTAAACACCCCTACCAGTGTTAGGTGGTTTGTGTCATCCATGTAAATTGATACATTCTGCTGAAGAGCTTGGGCTTGGGAAAACAACAGACTTACTGGCTGGATCACCGGATGAAATTTGAAGAAATAAGGCCTAAAAAAATGAATACAGCCATCACAGCTAAGAATTGGTAAGCTGCAATACAATAAATGATTGCTTTTGTGTTTAATACTGCTTTAATCTGAAAATATGAAGCTCAACTTGTTGAGTCATAGCTCACCTAACAGGACATCTACCTTTAACCTATTGTAGAAAAATCTTTCCAGCTCTTATGTAGAACTCTGTGGTTACCAGGGGTGGACTCACCATTTGGAAACTCGGGCACTGCCCGAGGGCCCGGGGTCAGTAGGGGGCCCCATGAGATGCCCCTGGTACCTTTTTCATAGGCTTTTTTGAGTTTGGGCAAGGACATAGGGGCCCCATGATCCCCTGTTGCCCGGGGGCCCCATGAGTTGTCAGTCCGCCCCTGGTGGTTACATAGGATCTAATGCACATACAACACACGTTAATGCTCCAGTACATCCCAGCAAGCACAGGACCCCCTTGGTGCAGATTGTCCTCACTGCACTGATCCATACTATGTACATCAAAGCCTGCGCAGATTTCAGCATTGACCATCCAAATGCACATGAATATGTTTTAAGGCGGTAAGCATACATCCCTAACCACTTTCTGATGAACAACAGCCCTGTTAGTTATAAGTGCCTGTTTTCCATGGCCATATTTGCTGCCGTATAAAAAAAATCACCTAAAAATCAGACTAATTTTAATAATAATAAGACAGAAATGAATGCAGTTTTTTTGTTCATTATTCATTGTTGTATTTTGTTCTGTAAATGGAAGCACCTGAATTCAACTTGGTATCAACCTCTTACAATTCCATATATGGCAATCAGACTGGAAGAGGGAGGAGCATACTAGGAGCCAATCAGGTATTTGCATGCAAATGCATTGGCAAGGAATATTCAGATAGGAGTAAAAAGCAGAGGGAGTAGAGGGATGAGCTCATCAGTCTGCTGCTGCTCTTTCACTGTAGAGACAGCAGGCCGAGGGTAGAGGAGGAAACCACTGTATACCTTTACTATAAAATATACTTTTCTACCATCTCAATCCTCCCACCAACACAGAAAGTGCACCTGTTTATTTTTTAACCCGTATCCTGTCCCCCACCACTGATCTCGCCTAGGCAAGTATGCCGTAAAGCTTTCTCCTGCTGCCTCCTGTGATAGGTACAACACCTGGGAGGTGTCAGAAGACTTCCCCAATCATTATTCATCTGGGGGCTGGCTGTAAGACCGCCATCTCCCTGATGACTAGTAAACAAAGATGGCGGTGTGGAATGGGATGTGCAACAGTAGAGTAGTGGGGGTCAAATGGACAACACAGGATTCCCTGTACTTTTGAGTATGTTTTCACTGGATAGTAGATCACTGAAGGCAAGCTGGTATACAGTATACTGGATTAATTGACTGGGAATGCGTGAAGTTCCTCTTTAACTACTGGGGTCACTCACCTGCCTGTGCTGTGCAAGAAGTATATGTAAATCTCAGCAATAGATGTATAGAAATATAACTTATTTGGGCAGGTAAAACATATATATATATATATATATATATATATATAATCTTTGCACTTAGATGCTTGCCTGATGTTCAGCTTTAATTAATAATCATGCTTTTATTTTCAGTATGATTAGCCATGCTTTCCTGTCATAACATGAGTATTTTGATCACATCAACCACTAATCATATCATATCTGTACAGAAAATCATGAGCTGAGATCAGGCTGGCCAGCACAAATATGGTCTTATGTGCATTTAGGCTTCAGGCACACTAGAGGTTTTTTAAGCTCCTAGAAGCTGTTATCAGCATTTTTTTCTGCTCCTAGAAGCTAAATAGTGTTATCCTATGCATGGCTGTGAATAAGGGGGTACCACCAGTCCTCCTGTAGGGGCCCAGGCCAGCAGGGGGGCCCAGGCAGCTGGGTGAATCAGATGTATGCAGGAAGGTTGATCAGAACGATTACTGGAACTGTTCCCCTGTGTGCCCCCACCTCACAGTGCTGCCAGCTTCCCTCCTTTCCTTTCCACCGGCAGCTGCAGGCACTAGGACAATAGGATCCTTCAGGGTGGAGAGTGGGGGAAGGTTCCAGTAAATATGTCCCATTTACCAGCCCCTTCCTTTCCTGAATGAACACAGTGAGCGATCAGTACCAATTACGCTTT